GCACATGCAATCCCTTTGCCTTATACTCACGCGATAATCGCCCCGAAGAAGCCATAACCCAGAATGGAAATCACAAGGCAAGAGATCGAAGAACACCTAGAGAGAGAAAGCTAAAAGGTAGAGAGAAGGGAGAGAAGAAAGTACCTGAACTTGCAGAGAAGAATAATGAAAGAAGGAGAGAATCTACCTATTTATAGCAAAGTCCTAAGGCAGGATTCTCTAAGTGCAATTAATGCACTTAAACGGGCCTAATTAAGCCCATCAACTGTAGAAACCCACAAGATTACTCGAGTTCTAATTAACCCTTAACCTAATCATGTTTGGTTAGCTCTTAAAACCGGTTTACTCCAACCGAAATTTAACTGGAGCTAAACCGAGAAGCAACTGAGATTGAACCAAAAGGCGGTTAGAAGATTGAACCAGAAGGCGGTTAGAAGCTGAACGTGCATCTCAACAGGTCGCCTAGATCGACTAGGTCGAAAAGCGATCAACTCGGTTGATCCACTTGAGCTAAGTGTTACTCCACGAGTAACGACTTAGTCAATCTACTAGACGAGTTGAATATGGTTTCCCCTTCATGCGCTCGAACATAACGTCCTAGTCGCGAGACTAGACACGCTCGAGGTGTCGCCTAAATACACTCTTACAGGTATCTACTCAAATCATGCTACCAGATAAGCTCAAGATGACGCCTTTACGCGACAACAGAAGACATCCCAGTCGCGAGACTAGATGCGCTCGAGGTGTCGCCTAAACGTGCTCACAGGTGATATTCTATCCGCGAGACTAGACACGCTCGAGGTGTCGCCTAAACACGCTCTCACAGGCATCGATTCAGTCGTGCTACTAGACAGGCCCAAAATGACGCATTTACGCGACAATAGAAGACATCCTAGTCGCGAGACTAGCCATGCTCGAGGCGTCGCCTAAACATGCTTTCACAAGCATCGACACAGTCGTGTTATCAGACGAGCTCAAGGTGACGCTTGAACGTGCTCGTGGTCGACGTCCTAGCCGCGAGACTAGACACGCTCGAGGTGTCGCCTAAACGTGCTCGTGTTCGACGTTCTAGCCGCGAGACTAGACACGCCCAAGGTGTCGCCTAAACATGCTTTCACAGGCATCGACTCAGTCGTGTTATCAGACGAGCTCAAGGTGACGCCTGAACGTGCTCGTGGTCGACGTCCTAGTCGCGAGACTAGACACGCCCGAGGTGTCGCCTAAACGTGCATCCATGCTAGATTCCCCATTTGATCAAACCTGACCCACAAATTCACTAAGAGTCCTATGAACTCATAAGTGAACTGGGGGGACTTATTGTAGGAGATGGGTTATACCCCTCCACAAGGCCCATCAAATGGAGAAACTTAGCCCAACACGACAATATACTCGGCCCACCGGGTAACATCAAAACGACTCAGCACGAGACGCGTTTAGTAGCGCGACTAAACGTATTCTAGAAGAGTCGGCGGAAGTACGAATTACCCGGACTACTAAACGGGCCTAGCAAGAATAAAGTCCAACAAGACTCGGGTAAACTAGGGCGAACACGAAGATATGATCTATAAAAGGAGAGAGGCAGCAAAGGGAAAAGGGATCGGGAATTCGACATACTCACTTGGCGGCTAGATCTAGGGTTTCTTAGCGACTAGGTGGTTAGATCTAGGGTTTACTCACCCTCCCGTTTACTCTCCATCTTGTATTTCCGGCTAGTCCGCCTCTTTACTCTTCTCTTTGTAACTCCTTGTTCAGATCTAATAAAAACGTCTTTGTTCGCCCTCATCTCTCTCTTTATATTGTTCTAAANCTAGATCTAGGGTTTCTTAGCGACTAGGTGGTTAGATCTAGGGTTTACTCACCCTCCCGTTTACTCTCCATCTTGTATTTCCGGCTAGTCCGCCTCTTTACTCTTCTCTTTGTAACTCCTTGTTCAGATCTAATAAAAACGTCTTTGTTCGCCCTCATCTCTCTCTTTATATTGTTCTAAACCATTTTCACCTCAAACAGAAGTATAGAAGTGGCAGAAGTAGCTGGCCTCGTTACTCCAGGATGAATCCAATTTTGACGTCTCCGGTTAGGTGTCCCTAATGAAGAAGCTCCTAATTAAGAGGGGAGAAGATATAGCGACTGTGTACGAGGACGAAAGAATCTATAGTGAGAAGGAGAGGAAGAAAAAGACGATGGAAGATAAATCGACTAAGTGGAAGAGAGAAGCTGGCTTACCGAAGGAGATACAACGAAGGAGGCGGAAAAAACAAGGATATTAGGTTTAATATTTTCAATGAAAAAATTATGTGGCTGTGAGTTAATCCGCATCTTTGTAATTCTTTTACCTGAGATGGAAACACTTAGGTAACAAAACAACCCGGGAACTAAAACTTATGTGGTTACTTTCTAATTTTTACATACAAACTAATTTATAGCTATTTATAGCTATGTCGTTAATATATTTAAAGTTATATTATTAAATAGAATATTGTAAAACTATATAAACATAAGTTATTTGATAAGACGGTTTATATTAAGGTTTAATGATTTGAAATTATATTTATTATGTATTTAAAATTATAATATAAATCACTACTTTAAAAACCATATGAAACTAAGGTAAGAGATAGAGTTTGGAAGTAGGGTTTGGACTTGAATTTGTAGATTAGATACAAGGTGTGAGATTACAGTTTGGAAAACATGTTGAAAGTGATATACTTTTGTTTTAGTGAGATTATAATTTTTGAAAGTTTTATATTTTTGTTTTAGTTATAAATTTCTACAGTTATTCATTTTTAAAATCTATTATAAGTGGATGTTGGTGTTTAGGGTTCATAACTTGAGATAAACATTTTCTTCTAATTTATTATTAATGTTAGATTTTCTTTTAATTATATTACTTGTTATGTTATCTTTGGATTTTATGATAAAATGTTTAAAACTTAAGGTTTAAAGTAGGATTAAGGTTAACATCTTTTTATTAATAACCACAGAATACATTATTATTCCTATATAATCTATTATTGTTTTAGTGACTAACAGTGAATATCAATTTCCACAAAAAAATTATGTAGCTAATTGCGACTTACTATCTACAAATAGCCACAAAATATAGTTTGTAGCTATTTAGCAACAAAGATCTACAAAGTAGCTACTGATTTTTTATTTCACAAATTGTTGCTATTTTTGTGGCTAACTGTAGTTTAAAAATTACATCCACAAATTTTTTGTAGCTAAGTTGTGGCAAAAATCAACTTTTCTTGTAGTGAATACAACAAAAGACTAGTTATATTTCAAAACTCATCTCTATTTCTTTCTTTAAAATAGATATTAATATTTTTCATGTATTTATAAAGGAAGAAATATCATTCTCGATATTTTACTATATATTTAGAAATTGCTGTTTTAGATAAATATATTAAAGAAAATCTCTTCTTCTTTTTTATATAGTCGATTTTGTATAGAATAAAAATAGCAACATATATTGGAGATAGTTTTTTTTTTAAACAAAATCACCAGTTACATTATTATATAATTTATAGTTCTTTTACATATGATAATCACGTGCAACATGTATGATATTGATGAACAACTTCACGAATAATGATTCAACGTGATATTCTCCTTAAACTACTTAGACTGACAAACGATTATGCATCTAGAAATTTTTAGTGAACATATTTTTCTGCAACAGACGATCACAAGTCCAAAATGTTTTGGTTAACAAAGAATATTTGATACTTAGAGAAAATCAACTTCTTATTCCGTTCATATCAAATACCAGTGTTCCAACACTTAGAACAAATATTGTACCTTTACAATCAAACCTCTGACTGAAGTTATAATTTTGTAAATAAACATACTCTGAGAGTGGATCGTTACAAGGTTCTTCTTCTTTGTTCAAGCAGTGTTATGATATCAACGTGAAGGTGTCTGGTTTGGAGAAGTCGTTCCTCTGGTTCTCGGAGGCGAGTTGTGACGGTCCTTTTGCTTTTTCAAGTGGTCTGCCGGAGAGTTTGAAGGCCCATTGGTGATCACGGTTAGAGGCACGATATGTGCAGTACCGATTATTGTTTATCCGGTAGTCGTACCTCTTCTTCTGCTTTTCAGATCCATGTCTGATCGTTAATGTAGCCATGTGCTCAACCCGTATTTCCTAGCTATGAAATCATTGTCCCGGAGCCCTCATATACTCAGTTGAGGATTATGCGTCGGGTTTGGCGATGCAGTAATTGGTTAGACTAATTCTTTCAATCTCTAATCCATTTCCTAAGTACTGTAGCTGAAAATAGCTCGCAGTAGTGAAAAGAAGCTTCCCTATGAGTAGTATAATTAATAGTTCCATTTATTATGTGCTATTAGTAGGATTCTCATTATTGGTCTTTTGATGGCAAAATATATGATTCATATTTTGATTTTAGTGGTAAAATTTTAGAGATTTAAGACACGAATCATTCTGAGTAATGGGGTAATCTTGTTTTCGCAGTGGTGAAAAATGCAATATCAAATTAATTCAGGCAGCGTGAGATCCTTCTAAGTGTTCATAGGTGATAATATATCATGATATTATATGTGGTAAAAATCTTAAGGTAGTAATCTCGTTAATAAAATTGGTGAATGAAAAATTGAAGTTGAGTCAAAAAAAATATAGACATTAAACCTTAATCCTTAAACTCTAAATCTACCACCAAACCATTGTAAGAAATAATCTACCACCAAATCTAATTCTAAGTTAGTTAATTCTAGAATATATATGTCAAGTTTAGTGTATGTAAAGTGTAATATAATCTTGCAATATTTTTTTTATAAATCATTATAAAATATAAATTTCATATTTTATTACACAGGTAATATAATCTTCTCTTTTTTTTTTAGTTTCTTTCTTTACAAAATTAACAGTTATTTGATTACTAAAATCAACGAAAAGAAAACTGGAAAATACAAGGTGAGGGGTAAAATCGTAAAACGAAGACATACAAACCCTACACTAATCTTTTTCTTCCGCCGTAACACAAAAACCAATTGACACAGAGATTCTAGTTCCTGAACCAAAATCGAAACCATGCCAAGGCACAGTGATGAAAACGAGGACAGGGAAAATCTAATAGCCATTAGGGATGGCTCGGATGAAGACGAAGAAGAAGCTAATGAAGATCTTAGCTTAAAGATATTGAAGAAAGCGTTATCGAGGCGTGAGTTAGATGATTCAAAGGAGACAAGTATGTCGGATCTCTGCGGTTCTGGTGTGGTAAGTACTGTGAAGGCGAATGGAAGAGATTCAAAGAGTCATAAGAAGAAGACGAAGAGAACCAGTGTAAAAGATGCCCACGAAATTGTCAGTATGAACGATTCTCTTATCTATCCTAGCTTTAAATAAGTTTTCTTTAACTTGCAACTTGTTAAGGAAATTTTCATGCTTGTGTTTAATGATTCTCTATATTGTAACAGCCCATTGTTTTGAAAGACCAAGATGAAAATATACTAAAAGGGGAAGATGATGAGGTTGAGAAAACTGCTGAACCAACATCTAGCAATATGGTTTTGAAAAAGCTTCTTGTGAGTTGAAACCACAACTCCCATTTTCTTTTTCTTTTTCTTTTTTCCGGGGAACAAGAAAGATCTCTTTGTGATGACAATTGTTGTTGGAATTATTAGCGTGGAGCGAGGTATTTTGACCCTCCTGATGCTGGTTGGGAGACCTGCTATAGTTGTGGGGACCAAGGTCACGTAACTATTAATTGTCCAACTCCAACAACGCGTAAGAAGCCTTGCTTTATATGCGGTAGTTTGGAACATGGTGCAAAGCAGTGTACAAAGGTGCGGTCTAGTAGACCTTTTATGTAACTGCACCTCAGCTTCTTTTTATTGTTCCAGTATACTTTCTTAAGAACATTTTTGTACAGGGACACGATTGTTATATTTGCAAAAAAGCTGGCCACCGAGCCAAAGATTGTCCAGACAAGTACAAAAGCGGATCTAAATCAGCTGTTTGTTTAAGATGTGGAGAATTTGGACATGACATGATATTGTGCAAGTATGAGTACTCTCGAGATGATTTGAAGGTACCTTGCTTCTGATTGCTTTAGTATAGTTGGGCTATATTGTACATCAGACAAATGACACTGCTGTATTTTACTTTGACCAGGATATACAATGCTATGTCTGTAAAAGCTTTGGCCATCTGTGCTGTGTTGAACCATGTAACTCACCGTCATGGGCTGTGTCTTGCTACAGATGTGGTCAACTGGATCACACTGGATTGGTTAGTTTTTGAGATTCTCTTTTTTTTAATCAATCCTGCGCCTCTAAACAAAATCGATCTCTTCTCCTCTTAGTAAAGTAATTTCATTATCTGACTAGAATAATTTTCTCTATAGGCATGTGGTAGATACTATGAGGAAAGCACAAGAAAAGATTCTGCCAGCTCATGCTTTAGGTGTGGGGAAGAAGGGCATTTCTCACGTGAATGCCCGAACTCATCGAGCATAAGCACTTCACATGGCCGAGACTCGCCGAGTTTGTGTTACCGATGTAATGGAGCAGGACATTTTGCTCGTGAATGTCCGAATTCCTCCCAGGTAGAGGCTCTGTTCTTCACTCTCCCCATTTGGGTTGCTTTAAGCTATTCTTCACTTTTTCCTTTTCTCTCTCTTGTTATGTGACTTAGCGTTTCCTTTTTCTTTTCCACATGTAGGTTTCTAAGAGGACCCGTGAGACATCTACACCATCGAGCAAATCTCACAAGAAAATCAGAGAAACCCTGGAATACAGTTCTACTCCTTGTGCATCCAGTGGGAAGAAAAAGAAGAAGAAGAGTAAAGAAAACTCAGAACACGATTCTAATCTCCATGAATCCAATGGTAAGAACACGAAGAAGAAGAAGAGTGAAGAAAACTGGGAACATTATTCTACCCCCCATGAGTCTAACGGGAAGATGAAGAATAAGAAGAAAGCACATAAAGGAGAACATAAATCAAAACAGAGAGGCGGTTGGATCACAGAGGATCTGGAGGAAGATTCTTTCCAAAGAGAAAAGATGAGGCGGCTGAGGTCTTCTGTTACGCCATCTGGTCATAACCACCATAGGTCATATATGGGTGGTTATAAGCAAAGATCACCAACATTCCATTCCGGTGGGGGTTTCCCGGGTTCTCCGATGACCGCGCCATATGGTAGAAACCATAGAAAGTCAGCATTCGAGTCCAGTGGGCATCTCTCCAGTCATCCACCTTCAAGGTGGCAGCCTTATTTTTCTCCTTCCCGTCATAATCAGAATCAAAGATATTCACCTGCACCCGCAAGGTACGGTTCGGCGCCCCACTATGACGACTTTCAAGGGGACTATGGCCGGTGGTAGTGTAAAACGATCTAGCTCAAAGTCGATTATGCTTGATGGTGTTTGCTGGGCAGTTGGGCTCACAGGTAGGTTAGCTTTGTTTCCCTAGGCCTCTGGTATTTGATTCAACTTTTGGGGTCAGCATTATGTTATGTTCTCTTCTCCAACTCAGGTTGTTTATTCAGTCCTCATTTCCTTTCCTCATGTCCACTCATCAGATTTTTTCTTTGTTATATCTGTATTTTTTTTTGTTTAATTTAAAATTTAGGGATACTTTTTTTTGTTATCAGTCATGATTTCATTTATAGTATTGATTATTTTTCTTAATAAACCAATTAAAATTTAGGTTATTGAATACAGTGAAAATAAGAAAATAATCTCCAAAATTTTAGAAATTGTTAATATCTAAATTAACAGTCATTTTGGTAACTCGTGATTTTTATTTCAAATAAATAGCTTTCTGTAATATCTATACCCCAACTCACTCACAACATGCATTGTTTCTGAGGCATATTTTTTTTTATGTTTTGCTCAGATTTCCCTTTGTTATATCTGTTATTGTTTTCTATCTTTCAAACTAGTTTATATATTTTTGGACTGTTTAGAAAAATAAATTAGATGTCGTCAATCTTCAAATCTAGGACAGATATATGTTTAAATAAAGTCATTAGAAAAAATTGTGCAACTCTTTAAGACTATACAATGGGGGTTGTTGAATAAAAGATTCAACAGTTGAATAAAAGATTAACAGTTGAATAAAAGATTCAACAGTTGAATCACTACAATGGGGTGTTGAAAAATGAAATTTGCTGAGGTGGATTAAACTGTGTTGAAAAGATTCAATTAGTTGAATAAGAACAAAGTGGAAACCACTAACGATACATGTCACTTTTCTAAAGTTTTTTAATATTTTCATATCTTCTTTGTTTTTTAAAACCAATTATTTTATTATAAACTAAATAATTTTTTTTATTTTTGATATGAAAATTTATCATTTTAAATTCTCTATTAATAAAGACTGTTTTTATTTAATTTGGATATTTTTAAAAATAATCATTAATTCGTAAATATAGTGTTGAATTTTATTAAACAAAACCATTTTAGTGGATAAAAGTTGAATATATATTGAATGATAAGATGGAAGAAATAGAAAATGATGTGGCATGTAAAAAGATGAAGTGGAGGGTATTGAATCTTGAAACCATTGTATATAGTCTAACTCGTGCGTTTCAATTCAAATAGCTTTAATCTATTCCACTTAACTCCTTCAAAGCATCCAATGTTTTAAGGTTAGTTTCTTGATGTTTTGCTATCTTCTCCTCCATAACTAGTTTGTGCAGTCCTCGTTTCCTTTTCTCAAATCAACGGCTTAAATTCTCTTTTTTTTTCTTCACATTCATCTTTGTATAATTTAACCTTTTAAGATAATCCTGTATTTATTATTAAGCTTGATTTTAGTTACAATATTTTTTTCTTACGCAATCGAAAATGAAGAATTTAAAAACAGAAGAAAAGATGAATAGAGATGTGGGTCTCCAAATTTAAGACAAGAATACATATTAAGTATAAAAAACTAATTTGTTTTTTTTGTTAACTCATAATCTTGAGTTAACTCGGGATTTTCATTCCAAATAGAGCCTCAATTGATACAACAAATGATTAATGATTAGCAGTATGCTATAAAAACATTATGCTGCAAAAATTGTATGCTTTTATCAAAGTTTTTAATAATGTGATTGGTAGAGCAATAACAATATATAATTTAATAAAATATCATAAAAGTTAGTATATAATATATTTATTTTAAAATAATATCTAATTATATAATATATTAATAATATGTTTATTATTACAAATAAAAATTTTTCTAAATAATATTATATTTTATATTTGAAATATTATTATTTACAAATTTTAAACTTTATGTTAAAATATTAAGTATATTTGGATATAACATATTTTTAATATTATAAAATAAATAAAATATATTATATTATTTATTAATGATTATTAGATAAATGATTCATTTATAAAATTATCATAAAATTAAAATATGATATATTATTTATTTGTTTGAGTCTAAATAATATATATATATATATATATATTTCATATATAAATAAATATATATATATATATATATATTATTTTATTTTTATTATTAAAAATAATGAATGAAATGAGCAATTATATAAATTATATTATATTTTATATGTGAAATATTTTTTTTCTTAAGTTGAAAATATTTGATTGCGATTTTTAATTTTAAAACTATATATATATATATATATATATATATTTATTATAAAAATATTTTTTTATATTATTAAATAAAAATAAATCAATTATATATAATTATTTTTAAGTTTTTACATATTATAAATGCAAATGCTCTCCCAAAAGCTCCATATGAGAGCATTGAGCCTAGAGCATTTGGAAAGCATTTGCATTTAATAAATGCTTTTCTAAATGCTTTTTCGGTAAATGTTGATTGGATAATAGAGAGCATAATGCTTATGGTAATACTTTACCAATCAAACCCTAGGCCAACAACGATATCGAGACCACATAGCTCCTTCACAATGGGCATTGTAGCTGGAACCGGCAACTGAAACATTAAACCTGAATCATCCACACCCTTCCACATCCTTAGCTGTCTACGCGCTTCTTTAATCTCTCTTGTAGCATAGTGCACCGAAGCTGCCAGTAGCAACGGAGGCTCTCCGGAAGCTGCATTTACATAAAACAATGTGACAAAAACGTTGATTCGAGATCTTGAACTGTTTTATGTGTACAAACTACTACTAACCTTTAGAAGAGAGGATACGCTTTTCATGTCGTCCACTGTTTAGTATCTCAACGTTGAACTGTCTTGGGATGGTATCTATGGTCGGGATCTTGTATGTCCATGTGCTGTCTGTCAGAACAAGTCCTTCTGAATCTGTTATGTATTCTTCAAGCATGAAAAAACCAAGTCCTTGCACAAAAGCTCCTTCAATCTGAAGAAGGAAGGAAAAGAAAAACACACATCACAGTTGTAACAGAAGATAATTTTTTGTTCATATCATTTACCTGTCCTAAATCGACAGCCGGACTGAGACTTTTTCCAGAGTCATATAGGATATCTGCTTTGGTTTCGATTTAATGTGTTGTACCATAGGATAGTTATATACTATAAATTTTTTTTGTATATTCCAATTCAGATATTTGAGAGAAGACACAAAGAGCTCTTAATTCAGATATTTGAGAGAAGACACAAAGAGCTCTTACCTCACTAACTACAACGCCATAGTTCAGGTACTGTGTGGGAGTTTCTTTTGGAGTATATAAGTCACTAGCAGATAAGTTCACAGACTGAGCATAGGCCTGCGTTTGGACATAATAATCAAGAAAGAAAATCAAGAAGGAAAATTAAGAAGTAAAGAGGGCTTAAAAAAAGAAGAAAGAAAAACCTGAGAAATCAACTTATTCCAACTGATAGCACCACCCGCTTTCTCCATTAAAGGTTTCAATTTCACTACAAGAAAATGTCACATATATATAACATCGGAAAAACGCTATTATAGTGAAACACATCGTTATGGCGAACGCTGTGTCTGCCCCCACAATCTTTTCTTTAGAACTTTAGATAATGTTTTTCTGTACGCAATATTAAAATATTATTTTGATAGCGTTTATTAATTATGCAATTATATTACTTATAATAGCAGGTTATAATTGCTGTAATAATATTATTAAAAATTAAAAATATATAAAATATAGATATAAATATATTAGAATTTTTATATATTGAAATTTTTTACAAAATAATCTAAACCAAAACTAAACAAGAAACCTAAACCTAAAAATTATCATGCCGCCTTCAATCTTAGGCAACACCAGAGCTCTTCTTATTTCTCCTCCTCTGCTTGTGAATGACTCGGAAAATCAGAGTATCTTGCTTCTCATACTCAACCTTGCGCTTATCAGCCTTGGGGAGCCTTCTCCTACAATATTGTACAACTCAAAGGTCAAGAAGCATGTAACACAATACAAAAATATAATAAGTTATAGATTAGAGAACGTACATAATTAGACAAGGATTTCAACTTCTCTGCACCAGCTTTTCCAACCTGTTAACCATTCAATTTCATAGTGAGTATATAGCTATCCTATGGTACAACACATTAAATCGAAACCAAAGCAAAGAAGATAAGACTCACAGCAGCAACAGACTTGTTGTTATCAACCTTAAATCTCTTATTTTTTCTACATTGTCTTATCTTAAATTTAAAAAGATTAAACAATGAAAAGCGTACATGTTAACTATAATGTGACAACAATATCAATGCAAGACTAAACAAGATTTAGTTTTCTGCAAAACACTACGTACCAAAAATATCAATGCAAGACTAAAAAGATTTAGTTTTCTGCAACAAAGTGCTAAAGAAGATGAAGACTAGCTTATTTTTCATGTATATACCTCCTTTGCTATGTTCTAGTCTTCTTTGTATCCAACCTCATTTTCTTCTTTTGGAGAAGCAGTTCCATCTTTGTTCCTCCATACATATATTTCCACTTGCAGCTTCTCTGAAGTATCCTACAATTGAAAAACCATCAAGTGGATTATAATAGAACTTCCCCAAAGTCTGACATGTCAAATACATAGTTGTCTTGGAACAAACAGTAGTTACTTACCCATAACTGTCAATCAACTTCAGCTGTTTCTCCCCATAAAACATCCATTTCCTTAGCCTGAAAAATATTCTCAAAACAGCTACTATGATGCTATTTTCCAAAAGAGGATAAAGTTTTAGACTTAAAAGAGTGCAGACAATAATCCACCTTTCCGAATGCTATGTGAGTGTATAATCTTTGGCGTTGGTATCTGTTTTGCAGAAGCATAGCAATACCTTGCATCATAGCCCATTGCAGGAAAAGATAAACTCCACCAGAAAAGCCATGAGTCTTTCTTGTTCATCCGAGCAAAGGACTGATACATAAAAGATGAAAAAGGCAGAGTAACCTCCTAGTCAAGAGACTCAAATTTCCAGACCCCAAAAAAAAACATTAAACAAAAACTTGTTACCAATGTACACAATCAAATCATCTCTTTTACACACTTATTTATAAAAACATCAAAAGACTATAATAATTAGGTGCATACCTTGAAGAGAACATGGAAGAGACATGTATTTGGGTTTGCATAGCTTTCAACTAGTGGCTGTTAGAAAGAAAAAAATCAAACATGTATAAATTCTCAAGTAATCTACAACCTGTAATGTGTACATACAATAACGTAGAACACAGATCCAGCACAATAATTATCAGTAATCAACTGTCAAGCCTACAT